CTCTCTCTCTCTCTCTCTCTCTCTCTCTCCCTGACCCTCCCTCCCTCTCTCTCTCTCTCCCTGACCCTTCCAGTCACTTCCACTTCATCCTCTTGTTGCTGCTGCTATTCGGCCCGTCCCTGTGCTCTGGAGGTGGGTAGGAGCAGGGTTGGGACGGGTTTAGTTTGGGTCAGGGAGTAGCGTCCCGAGGGCTGCGAGGCACGACGATGCCAATCAGCCCCGATCCCCAGCGTTCCAGCGTTCCAGCGTTCGGAATGACTGCAATTGGACGTTTTGACTCAGTTTGCTGCCCCTCCCTTGCCCACTCTCTCTTTCAGACTCACGGGGAGGTGGAACGCCGTATCGTCTCCCAACTGCTGACCCTCATGGACGGCCTGAAGCAACGTTCTCACGTCATTGTCATTGCTGCCACCAACAGACCAAACAGCATTGACCCTGCCCTCCGCAGATTTGGTATGTCGCTGCGCGGATACCCCACGCTCTCCCCCCCCCCCCCCCCCCCCCCCCCCCCCCCCCACCTGTAGGTTGGCACAGAGCCACAGGGCGTGGTGTCCCAATTGCGTGCTGCCCGTTCCTGATGGCCCCAGCAGCTGGTTACAGATCAGCTCCTCGGGCCTCGCCCTCTCTTCGCGGTTCATCGAGCCCCTGCCCCCGGGACAACATTGAGGGCTTTCCTCTCCTAAGTTAAATGATGCTGCGCTGTGGGCTGAAGAAACGTATACATTGGCAGCTGGGGGAGACCACCCTACTGTTGCAGCCGTCATTAGAAATTTCTGGTCAACCTACTATGTGCACAACTGAGATTAGACCACCGTCACCAGCAATAAAGGGTTCAACAACGAACAGTTCAACAGACCAGCCGACTCCACTGTTCAATCCCCGCACGTTCACACCCACCTCCATTGACTTTTCACCACTCCTGTTTACCGAGGACCTTTCTGCCTTAAAAAGATTCAAAAACCCTCTCTTCCTCAAAAGAGTCATGCTTCAAAGACTCCCGTTTTCACTGTGTTTCGAGGAAGGGAGCTGTAGAAACTCACCACCATCGGAGTAAACATGACTTTAATAGACACCCTTTATTCTTACATAGTGACCTCTCAGCAGGTGAATCACCCTGCTCCACATCCACCACCTCGGGGGGGCCTCCAGGATCTTCAGTCTAGTTTCAGTCTCCGTCCTCATCTCTTTCCGCTGGGATTTGGGACTGGAAAAGTAGTTGGGACTGGCAATTAACTTGCAAGAAAAGGTCCGAATCCATCCAGTTCATTTTCCTTTCGTCCTGGGAGTTCCATAATACAAGAGTGCCGTTAGTGTCCAATGATCACGCTCCATTGAGAGAGTCATTGATGAGTCTTTGACAGAAGCCCCATGAGGTGGGAGATGAGCAAAGGGGAACTTTGGGAATCCTAGGGCCGATGTCACATGTTCCACTCTCCACACATCCTGTCTTGAAATACAGATCGTAGAATCCCTGATGCCTTTGGCCAACTGAGCCACCCACCCTACCCCTGTAACTCTGCATTTCCTATGGCTAACCCATCCAGCCTGCACATCCCTGGACACTATGGGCAATTTAGCACGGCCAATCCACCCTAACCTGCACATCCCTAGACACTATGGGCAATTTAGCATGGGCAATCCACCCTAGCCTGCACATCCCT